CCCCAGTGAGATGGATTGGCAAAGTGCCAGCATCAATGGGCTGAAGCATGGCAACAATAGTGAGATTGGACCAGAATCAAGTAGTGTTTCGTTCTGCTGTGCATAAGGTCGCTGTGAGTCGTTACTGACTCGATAGCACCTAAGAACAACAACAACAGTTTACGTTAGAGTTTACAGTTCTAGTAGAGTTATATAGTCCTGTGTTACCTAAGGGAACATTGTGGCTCTGTAGTATAAGCAATCAAATTTGAAACATGTCGGTGCTTCAAACCCACCAGCCACTTAGAAGGAGAAAGTTGAGGCTTTCTGCGCCCTCAAAGATTTACAATCTCAACAATCCTCTAAAGGGGTGCTGTAAGTTGGAACTGACTCTAAGGAAGTTCACAACAAAATGCTACCCAAGCTAATTCTAACCTTAAACTAAATGACTCTCTCTCCAAGTTTCAAGAACAAATATTTATTCTGGTAGATTTGTATCACAGCTCAAATTGAAGTCTCTGTCTTCAGAAAGACACAGATTTGAGGACTTGCTACCATTCTCTGGCTAGCTCTATAGACTTAGACAAGTTTCTTAAACTCTCTGTGCCTCAGTTTTCTCATCAGAAAATGATTTAATAGTAGTTCCTGACTCATCAGGCTGTTGTATTAAATGAAATAACCCTTATAAAATATTTAACATGCTACTACAAGTCCAATACTATGTTAGGCCCTATAGTTGCCAAGATGACTGAAATACAGTTTACCCTCCAGGGTCTTGTAGTGCAATAGGAAAGACAGGTATATAAATAAGTCATTAAAATTGAATGAGGATAATGCAATAAATAGAGGAATAGATAAAAGAGTATGGGAGGCCAGAAAAGGAAGTTACCAGCAATCTGGGTAAGTTTCTAGCTGCTGTGGTATTTGACCTGAGTCTTATAGTTGTCCTTGTATCCAGGTGAGTGGAGAGATTCATGAAACTCTAGGCTAATTCTCACCTATTTACCTATTAACTCCCTTTGTTAAGTGCCACTGTGTCGGTACCCACACATAGCGACCTTATGCACAGCAGAACAAAACACTGCCTGATCCTGAGCCAACCTCACTACTGTTGCCATGCTTGAGTCCATCTATGCTGCCACTTGGCCAATCCATCTCGTAGGGGGTCTTCCTCTCTTTCTCTGACCCTCCACCTTACCAAACATGATATCCTTCTCCAGCGACTGGTCCCTCATGACAATATGTCCGAAGTATGAAAGACAAAGTTTGGTCATTCTGGCCTCCAAAGAGCACTCTGGCTGCACTTCTTCCAAAACAGATCTATTAGTTCTTTTGGCAGCCTATGGCACTTTCAATATTCTCCTCCAAGACTATAACACAAAAGCATCAATTCTTCTATGGTCTTCCTTATTCACTGTCTAGCTTTCGTATGCATATGAGGTGATTGAAAATACCAGGGCTTGGGTCAGATGCACCTTAGTTCTCAAGCTGACATCTTTGCTTTTCAACACTTTAAAAATGCCTTGTACAGCAGATTTGCCTAATGCAATACGTCGTTTGATTTTTTGGCTGCTGCTTCCATGAGTATTGATAGTTGATCCAAGAAGAATGAAGTCCTTGACAACGTCAATCTTTTTTATGTTGATAAGAATGTTGTTTATTGTTTCAGTGGTGGGGATTTTTGTCTACATTGAGATACAATCCATACCAAAGGCTGTCTCTTTGATCTTCATCAGTAAATATTTTAAGTCCTCTTTATTTTCAGCAAGCAAGGTTTTATCATCTGCATATCGCAGTTTGTTAATGAGTCTTCCTCCAATTCTGATGCCACATTTTTCTTCATATAACCCAGCTTCTCAGATTATTTGTTCAGCATACAGGTTGAATAAGTATGGTGAAAGAATACAACCTTGTCACACACCTTTCTAAATTTTAAAACATTCAGTGTTCCCATGTTCTGTTCGAACAACTGCCTCTTGGTCCAGGTACAGATTTCTCATGAGCACAATTAAGTGTTCTGGAATACTCATACTTAGCCATGTTTCCGTAGCTTGTCATGATCCACAGAATCGAAAGCTTTTGCGTAGTCAATAAAGCACAGGTAAACATCTTTCTGATATTCTCTGCTTTCAGCCAAGATCCATCAGATATCAACAATGATATACCTCCACGACCTCTTCTGAATCTGGCTTGAACCTCTGGAAGTTCTCTGTCAAGGTATGCTTGCAGCCATTTCTGTATTACCTTTAGTAGAACTTTATTTGTATGGGATATCAGAGAGATTGATGATTTCCTCATTCCATTGGGTCACCTCTCTTTGGAATGGGCACAAATATGGATCTCTTCCAATCAGTCGGCTAGACAACCTTTTTCATCACACACAAACATGGATGACTTTGTCTATCTAACTAATCTCCCTGTTTTGATTCCGTCTCACATACTTTGGACATGTCCTCAGGAACATGAGTTCCTGGGGAAGGATTATCATGCTTGGAAGTCAGCAAAATAAAGGAAGACCCTTAATGAGATTGATTGATGCAGTGGCTACAATCAGTGTCTTAGGCTCAAACAATGTCATAGGCTGGATTCTCTAGAGAAGCAAAAGCAGTGAAACATGTATGTATGTGCGTATATTTATATATATATGGAGCTCTGGTAGCGTAGTGGTTAAGAGTCGGGCTGCCAACCTCAAGGTCAGCAGTTTGAAACTACCAGCGGTTCCTGGGAGAAAGATGATGCATTCTGCTCCCGTAAAGATTTACAGCCTCGGATACCCTGTGCAGGAGCACTATGAGTTGAAACTGACTCCACGGTACTTAACAGCAACAACAATATATGGTTGGCTGGTTATGTGCCGCGTATATATATTGTCCCACAATTGTAGTCCCAGGTCCCCAGCAGTAGACAGACTGAAAGTACCTCCCACGTGCCCATTGTATTGGGAGCAGACCACACCCCCAAGGGAACATCCCTTCAATTTATTGGCTGCTTTAAGCCACTCATCATAGATTTAACTATGCCTGTATTAGGTTTCATTGCCATAAAACAAGTACATCCCAACCGCTAAACCCCTAGAAAGCCTGTCCTAGTCAAGCTGACACAAAACTCTATTACACATAGCAACAACTGTAAGGATGGCATTAGTCCAGGCAGTGCTTTGTTCTGTTGTACATACACTTTATGTAAGTCTGAACTGACTCAACAGCACTTAACAACAATAAAAATCAATTCTCCCTACAACAGTCAATGTTGGGGGAGTAGGTCTTTGAATCCATAAATCAGCTCATGAGATACTCTGCTGTCACAGAAGTCAAGGCTCTGAGCAATTATTTTTTCATCATACCTCATAGAAAATTTGAAGTCCTAACATTATAATGTCTGTATAGTGTAGTGGTTACGAATCGGGCTGCGAGTCTTAAGGTCAACAGTTTGAAACTACCAGCTGTTCCGCGGGAGAAAGATAAGGCTTTCTGCTCCCGTAAAGAGTTATAGCCTTGGAAACCCTGTGCAGGGTCGCTATGGGTCGGAACCGACTCCATAGCACATAACACCACCACCATTATCTTTCCAACCTGATTTCCCATAACGTTCGCTCCCCTATTGTTCCTGGCTTCAGCTACATCAAGTTTTTTGATGAGTCAGTATTTATTTCTTTTCAGGGTATTTGAATAGTTTTTTCCACAGAATATTCCTATGACTTTCTCCATTCAGGTATCTGCTCAACAGTTTGTGTTCCTAAAAGGTACAACATCTCTGTATTCATTTATCTTGATTTATTTAGTTTGGTTGATTGTGTTTTGTTGCTGTTTTTGTTTTGCATTTGGAAGGCTGCCAGGCTAAGGTGATGCTTGAGTTGGGTTGTAAAGATGGAGTAGGCCAGGTAAGAAAGGGTGAAAAGGGAATCCCAAGTTAAAGGACTGCCATGTCAGTAACCAGAGTGGCACACAGGAAGAATGCAGGTGATTCTGTTAGAGTGAAAGGTGCTGTACAGGTGAATGGCAGAAAGGAAACGGAAAGGGAAGACAGGGCCAACTGCCGGACACACAAACATAGATGACACAAGCTTAATTTCTCTTGTCTCCCAGCACCATATCCTTCTTCATTGATGTTGTGTGCTGTGGAGTCAATTTCAACTCAGAGTGACCCTACATAACAGGTTAGAACTGTCCCACAGGATTTCCTAGGCATTAGTCTTTTATGGGAGCATGTTATCAAGTCTTTCTTCCACAGATCTTCTGGTAGTTCTCAACCACCAACTCTTTGGCTATGAGCGCTTAACCACTGAACCACCAGGACTCATAAATCCTTCTTTACAAACTGCTAATCTTTGTGGCAGAGTCCATGTGTGGTACTGTAGGATAATGCACTGGACTACAAGGTCAGTTTGAACTGCAAGGTTGGCGATTCAAACTCACCAGCTGCTCCCCAGAAACCCTATGCAGGGTCACTATGAGTCAGAACTGACTCGATTGCACTTAACAACAATCCTGGTGTAGTACAATAAGCACTTGACAGTTAACCATGAGGGTGGCAGTTCAAGCCCACCAGCAGCTCTTTGTAAACCCTATACAGAACTAACTTGATGGCACTTAACAATAGCAACAACAATAGACCAAGAGGCAGTTGTTAGAAAAGAACAAGAGGATACTGATGGTTTAATATCAGGAAAGGTGTGCATCAGGTTGTTTCCTTTCACCATACTTATTCAGTCTGAGGAGTCCTGGTGTGGCGCTGTGGGTTAATGCTCCAGACTACGAAGCCATTTGAACTGCAAGGTTGGCGGTTCAAGCTCACCAGCTTCTCCTTGGAAACCCTATACAGGGTTGCTGTGGGTCGTAACTGATTCAAAGACACTTAACAACAACAACAATTCAGTCTGAATGCTGGACAAATAATCTGAGAAGCTGAGTCATATGAAGAAGAATGATGTGATATCAGGATTGGAGGAAGACTCATTAACAACCTGCAATAGACAGATGATACAACCCTATTTGCTGGAAGTGAAGAGGACTTGAAATACTTACTGATAAAGATCAAAGACTTTCATATGTTTACATCTCAATGTAAAGAAAATAAAAATCTTCACAAATGGACCAATAAATAATATCATGATAAATGGAGAAAAGACTGAAGTTTTCAAAGATTTCATTTTGCTTGGATCCACAATCAAGTCTGGTAGAAGCAATAGTCAAGAAATCCACATATTTCATTAGGCAAGTCTGCTACAAAAAAAAACTTCTTTAAAGTGTTCAACAGCAAAAAAGTCACACTGAGGACTAAGGTGCACCGAACTCAAGCCATGATACTGATACTATCTTTTTTGTTGTTGTTAAGTTTTTATTATGAATTGAGTGAAAGTTTATAGGGCAGATTATCAGCTTTACATTCAATAAATCCATATTTTGTTTAATTGCAATAACTACAATCCCTTCCATGTACCATCAATCAACAGTATTTACCTCTATTCCCTCCCCCCCTTTTTGATATACAAATACAAAACAGAAAATACATATTCGTTTAAATGTCCTACAAGCACACTTTGCAAACCAGCAAATGTCCTCAAGCACACAGCCTTTCTCAGTCCATGGACCTAGAGTCTTCAGCTGCTCTATCTCTCTATGCCATCACCTCTGCCACTGTCTTTGAAGCCATGGCATTTTCAAAATGCCTCATATGCTTGTGAAAGTTGGACAGTGGATAAGGAAGACCCTAGAAAAATTGCTGCTTTTGAATTATGGAGTTGGTGAAGAATGAACAAACAAATCAGTTTTGGAAGAAGTACAACCAGAATTCTCCTTAGAAGTGAGGATGGTGAGACATTATCTCTTATACTTTTTTATACGTTGCCAGGAAGGACCAGTTCCTGGAGAAGGGCATCATGCTTGGTAAAGTGGAGGGTC